AAAAATATATATATATATATATATATGTATATGTATATATGTCATAATAACTTTGATAATAAAAATCGGACTCTATTCATTTATTAAGCATTATCTTTTGCTTTGGATATTATATATTTATGTAGTCATTGTCCTATTTGAATATGCATAGCTTATTAGTATGCTTATATTTATCAAAAATTACAGCTTACTGCCATAAAATAACCTCATGCTTGAGGAAACATAGCTAACATCCTCATAGGAAGAAGCTCTAGTATAGGCTGTTGGATTTTTTTTACCAGATTATATATTAGGTATGGTCTGGCCTTTTCCATGCCTAGAAACGTTTTATGACCTAGCAGTTTGTATTATTTAGGGAACTTCCCTGTTAGATATTATGAAATGAAGTTTACTGCAAATATACCAAGCATTACTTAATATTGTAGCTGGAATGAATCCTAAAGAATATCTGCTCTGGTTTCTTTGAACTCATTGAGCAGGTCAGGAGGTAAAAGCCCAGAGAGGTTTGGTGACTAGCCCAGGGTCACTCAGAGAGCCCAACCCTGGGTGAGCCATGATCACATGATGCCTGTCCAGTGCTCTTGGCTTTTCCGTTTTGTTCCATAAATGGATAACATTAAAAATTTGTCCTTCTGGCTCGTGATTCCCGAAGCTACAGGTCATCTTCTGTTGTCTCAAACAGCTTCATGAAATTTTCAAGAGGGGAAAAAGGTTATTAATTTAAATTTAATTTTTGATTTAAAAATTAAACTAATTTTAGCCAGCTGCTAAAAAAATAAATAATTTTAAAACAAATATGACAACAGTTTAAGGAGGAAATAGTGTGTCAGTACAATTATAAAACGTATCAGAAATCCCTACTGTCTGAGTGATTAAAAAAAAAAACATATACACTACCTCTGGCTGTTCTAAAACAATTCAGGATGCTTCTCTGAACAAAGAGAGCACAGGCAAGAAAATTTAAAAAAGGACACACCAGTTCCAGTTTCATCTTATTTATTTCCCTTGGCTGCTGTTTTGGTTGGCAAGAAAGTAGCCCCATGGGTTTCTGTGGTAAATCATACAGGATCAGTATATAGGATGTGTTAGTGGCAGTGTGGCCGATGCAAATAGGAGAAGATAATACTTTTTCTGTCTACACTCTGGCTGCTCTAAAATGCATGGGCAGTTGCTTTCCTTCTGCTTTTTCTCGTGTGCCCTTTTTGCACTAAGGGCGGATAGTAAAGATGTTTACACAATTTTAATTCTTTAGCCTAAAGCATATAGCATGTAAGGGATTAGTTAAAAATGAACCCCTGGATCATGATATTATTTAGATCATTTTGAAAATGCATATACCTGGGCTCTTTTTATATTTTCCTTGCCATACTCGAGTGCTTTCCACCATATTATGTCTTCCCACCCCTAACAGCAGGCTGAATGCTTCACAGGGAAATTTTCTCCCTGAGACTGCTGAGTGGGATTCCTGCATAAGAGGTCTTCTGTCTGGAATTGAGGGAGTAACCCCCTTGTGTGCCTCGTTGTCTTTGGTGAAGTAATTTATCTTTTTCTTTTGGCAGTGGCCGATATGGGGATCCTAACCTTTGACCTTGATATTATCAGCACCACACTCTCCCAAGTGAGCCAGTGGCCAGCCTGGTAAAGCAGTTTACTCCCCTGTATCTTTACTTCATTTTACCCATTAGGAAATAGAAAAAAGACAGAAATCATCAGGCTACATAATGTAATCCTTTAAAAGGCTTTTTTTCCATCTTTGGGATCAAACTACCAAAGGGGTAGGGTTGAGCTGGATTGAGACACCACCAAGTTTCACAGCTTCAGTCCTCCCCTGCTTTCAGTACCTGGTCTGGCCCGCCACCCAACAGCCACCTTCTGGCTGTGCGTCACCGGAGCGCTGTCAGAGGCCAAGGTCACACAGTTGCAGCGTGAGCCTTGGCTTTGTTCCGTGGTCCCAGACTCTGGCCCGCCACCCAACAGCCACCTTCTGGCTGTGCGTCACCGGAGCACTGTCAGAGGCCAAGGTCACACAGTTGCAGCGTGAGCCTTGGCTTTGTTCCGTGGTCCCAGACTACACCTCGCACCAGTCAGCCATGCTGCTGGTGCGTGATTTTGGTCCAAAGCTGCCCAGTGAGATCTGGTGGTTACATCTGACAGTAGTTCCCTGCTTTAAGAACGAGTCCTTTGGGAGGACACATCCATGGCACTGTCTTCATATGTCTTCTCTAGCCACACCTTCTTTCACCCACCACAAACATCCTCACAGTTTACTTACATGTCCTTTGGAGGCACCTCTTGTTTCTCATCTATGGGCTGGGAATCATGAAATTGAGCGAGAGGTGGTGGAGGAGATGTCTACGTGGTATGGCAGGAGTGGGGCCAGGAAACCCGGTCCATGAAGCCCCTGAGGGAAGTTTGTGGGTGGGACCATCATTTGCCAAGTAACCCTGATTGTAGGAGCCTCCTTTTTCTCCCAGAGATGGAGGAGCAGGTAGGCTTTGTCCCCTATGGCCGAGCCAGAGCCTGGGTCTTGCCCTCTGCTGCAGGGACAGGATGTAGAAAAAGAGACACAGGAGGAAGCATAAAGCCACAGGAGATGTTTGTCACAGGGGGCTGGTGATGCCACCCCTCCCCCCCCCCGAGCCTCCAGGGGTGCGTACTGGGGACATGCACAGGAGGTGTGTGCACTGGGGGTGTGTGGGGAGAGCATTGCTTTCCCTGCCTGCATGGGCCAGCAAGACCCAGGTGTGTGGTAGTTCTTCCTTTGACACCTTTTGTTTGAAGACATCGTTCCTTTTCAGTTAGTGGTAGGCTTTTTTGTTTCTTTCTTTTTAAGTGCATTTCCTGATCTCAGGCCAATTGTCTCTTCTAGCACAACCACGTTCAGTTTAAATTTAAAAGATAAGTCTCTGGTCACCTCAATGGTTGAAGCTCACTTCAGCAGGTGATACAGGTCATCTCATCTTTGACCTTTCCTTCCATGTTTTGTCCTTGAGTGTTGGTCCCTGGACTTCTTTGTGGCCACGATATGTAAGTGCTTTTACTAACGTGCTTTGTTTTACTCCCACCTAGCTGCCACAAGCTCCGGATTCTGAGAACTCCACAGAGGTGTGTTGCTCACCTGTATTTGTGGTGCCAGCAAATGTGGTTGCTTCGAAGTTGTCCTGGTTGAGTGTCTGAATTGTCATGACTAAATGTCCGTCCCTGTGATAGGTGTGGAAGGGAGGTCTCTGGGCTGGCTGGGACCTGATCACTGCTCCAGTGGATATGACTGTCAGTGTAGAAAGTCCTGAGCAGCTGGGGTGAAAGCAAGCATCCTCCATGTGAGCAGATATGGCTGTTTGAAGGTTTTCACACAGAACTACCTCAGTCTTGAGATACTCACTTGAGAAATTTTGGAATGACCTTTCTGTTATTCAGAATTGACTTTGGGTCCTGCACAGAGATGATATAATTTTGAAATTCTGGGTATTCGTTTATGGTTTTATTTATTTTATTTACTTTTTGGTGGCTGGCAGGTACAGGAGTCCGAACCCTTGACATTGGTGTTACAAGGCTACACTCTAACCAGCTGAGCTAACCAGCCAGTTTTAGTAAAAACTGCTAATAAAGTTGTAGTTTTACAGTGCACGCTCTATTCTTCTTGCCACTAACTAAACTCAGTAAATGAAGGAACTAGAAATTATTAACGTGTGTAAGACCATAGAGAAGCTTTCTGGGGAGGCATTTTTCCAAGTATCAAAATTTACTCTTCTAAAGTCACAGTGATTCAAGCTAGCATGAGGTGTACTTTATTTGAAACAAGTCTACTGATGATCTTTAAAAGCAAGTACAAATGATCAATGGCTCAGTTGCAGTGTGGATGTTTTCAAATGATCAGTCTCTAATATTCGCATCTGAGCTCTCCGTTGTTAACAGTTTTGATTAGAATGCTTGCGGGCTGGTGGGAGCCGTGGTCTGTGCGTGTCTGCGTAGAAGCGTTTGTATCATTGTCCTTATGAATGCACTGTGCAGTGATGCATGCATGAATGCTAAGGACCTGCCTGGTTGAGTCTTGCATAAGGACTCCTTTTGGGATAGTGTAACAGTGTGTATAACTTAGAACTTCCTTTTCTATCTTAATGTTGGCCAAAAAGTCATATATCTGCCCATTTTAAACAGTGCCCTAGGGTTGGGGAAGGGTCAGTTGTTAATCTGTGTCTAAAGTAATCGAGGATTAGCATTTGTCTGGGGAGAAACAAACACAGGCCTGTTCCCCTTTTGTGTAACTCATGGCTCAATGTGTTTTATTTGTGACTGATGCTGAAGATGGTAGTGTCTCCTTAGTGTGTACTTAAAATGGAATTTCTGCATGCTTAGCAGGAGCTTGAACCAAGTCCACCCCTGAGGCAACTGGAAGACCATAAAAGGGTACGTAGCCTTGAGTCTTGGGTGTTGGGAGCTAATGACCATACATACCACTTTGCTTAGCCACACTCTGTGATTTAAAGACAGCTTTTGTTGTGGTTGATATTGTTAAAGCATTGATTGGCTCAGGAGCAATCATAGCCATTGATATAACTGGCAGTTCTACTTATCATCTACCTGGTCAGAGCACTGTACCCAGCCAGTCTCCATATAATGACCAATAAGCTTTTCATGTCCTTTCTTCTCTGTGGTGGCTTTCTACTAACATGAGGTCTAAAAAATTTTTTGTGTGTAACAACTGATGATCATTATAGATAATTTATAATAAAAAAAAAAAGCATAATGAAAAAAAGTTCATAATTACCCCCCCAGCCATAAAAACTGCTTATGTTTTAATATTTCTCTCTGCCCACTTCTTTACACTCATGAGCACGTGTGCCAATAAACACACTTGAACTTTCATTGTCATTGGGATTTTTCTAAGTGTACAACTTCTGTACCCTGCTTTTGTCATTTAATTTTCTAGCTGAGTATTTTTGAAAGTCTTTGAAAGTTAATAGCTGCCTAAGATTCCACAAATTAACAAGTGCTTTGTAATTTTTTCCTTTGACAAGGAAATGAACAAATATATGCGTCTTTGCACAGATTCCTAGAAGGGGAATTCCTAGGCCAGAGGGTACTTTCTTAAGGTGCTGAATATGCATTTTCAAACCATCTTCTAGAAGTTGTGTACACCCATGAGCGTGCTGACCAGATACATTGACAAACCATTTTCTAGAAGGTTATATATACCCATGAGCATGCCGACCAGCTTTGATTTTCATGTTACCCATTTTTGGAAGATAACCAGATGTCCTGATTTTCTGAGAGCTTATCATATGCTGGTTACTGTGCTAAGCCTTTTACATATGTGAACTCATCAATTTTTATTAATGCTTACACTGACCCAGTGACACAGCCTTCATCCCCGTTTCACATATGAGGAAATTGAGACTCAGAGAAGATAAGCAGCTTGCCCAAGGTCATGGGGTTAGAAAGTGAATGGTCATTATGAAGACTGCCTTGGAACTGTGGTCATCGGTGTCCTGGAGAATTTATGCCTGTGATAAATGGGCAGCCCGATGCGCTTTTGTTCTGCTCACACACCCCGGCCCCTGCCCAGTCCTGCCATGTCCGAAATCTTATCCATTCTCTTACTCTGATGGAGAAACAGATTTAGTGGTTTCTCAGACTACAACCAGAGAATAACTCCCAGGAAATTCGCATTTTGGCAGAATTCAGGGTTTGGTGCTATAGCCCTTCTCCAGCATCCTATATCTCCTACATTTCATTGACCAAGGGCACCTTGCAGTCATAGATTTTCCATCCTTGCCTGCCCTTAAAAAATTATCCTAGGTCTTAGAAGTAGCTGGCAAAGGTACACAGCCATCCTCATGCCCAAAACTCTCAGGGGACTCTCTATTGAATGCTGCCTAATAAGCACATGAACTTTGGAGTTAGAAACAGGTTCAAGTCTTTTTTTGCCAGGTACTAGCTGTGTGATTTGGGGCAAGTTATTTAACCTCCCTATGCCTCAGTTTCTTTGCTGTAAAAGGGGATGATAATAGTCCCCATCCCTTAGGACTGTTACACTGAACTGTGCATGTAAAGTGCTTAGCACAGTGGCTGGAAGTGATAAGGAGTGTTAACTGTAATATTGTAATTAGCTTGCAGATTGAAATGCTTAGGTGATTTTGTAGACAACAGAAGTAGGAAAAGGAAGGTATTTTTAAATTGAGGCTCTACCTTAGTGCTAAGTGTGAGAAGCTCACTACTCATGTGAGAGGGTGATCTTGCCTGCAGCACATGATTTTTAAATGACTAGAATCTGGGAAACCAAAAGGTCACTTCCCTGTCCTTTGTGTATGGCAATGTTAACTTCTCAGTGACTCTGTTCCTACATAGTTCATTAGCCACTAGTTTAATTGATATAAATGAAACTCATTTTAGCGGAGTGGCAAGTAGGAGTCCACATCACTCATCTACCAATTTTCACTATTTTAACATGATACTTATCACAAATGAAACTCCCTTTGACTTTTCTTTTTCATAGTCTTAGGTAATAAATGTATGTAGAATTTCTTACTGGAGACAAACATCTGATATTTGTTTGCATACTGTAGGTGTAAACTGCTGGAAAAAAACTGGTATTTTAAAAAAAGGGTTGCACAGCCAAATGTTAAAGCTGAAGAAGTGACGTTATTTGGGAAATCATTTTTTTGTTTTCATTTTTTTCTCCTCTGCAATCAGATTTCTCAGCCTGGTACATCGTGAACAGCTTAGTGCTGTTGAGTAATTTATATCAAGATGATTAGGAAGGCTTTTCTCTGCAGATTTTAATTTTTTCTAAATTAAACCAGTAGCTCAGAAAAACAGAATTTTCCGTGAACCTAAGTTTTCACACTAGGGATTTGCATAACTTTTAATAATGCTTATTCATTTCCTTTCTTTCCCATTTTACCTAAAATTCTGAATCTTTATTCTTTTAAAAAAGGAATGAATCTCATCTGTTGTTTAAAAAAAACACAAAAATATAAATCCCACTTGCTCTCTTCCCCCACCCCCCTTGCAGTTTAAATATTTTTTTGTGGAGAGAAGGTGAGATGAATATGTGCCCAAATCCTTATATTTAAGAGGGGAAAAAAAATAAAAAGTTTCTGGGGTGGAATGTGTTTTATTCTTCCCCCCATAATGAGCACATTTCATGATATTCTCTTATGGGGAAAAGTGTAGCATTTGATGCATCAGTTGCTATAGTAACTGCTAGGGTTTTTTTGCTGAAGGAGAGGCAAAATGGTAATGTGAGATCCCTTTGTAACATCAGTTTGGCGTCCAAGCTGCATAAACGTGGAGTTCCTGTTCCTGGAGTCCACGTGCTCTTTTCTTTACCTCCAACTTGCCTGATTGCAAACTGACCAAGGTCTTGATGTTTGCCCTCAAAACCATGAGGAAGGGAAAAAAAACAACAACCACTAGGAGCTGAAGATCTAAGCCAGTTGCTCCGGCTCTCAGTGGAATTGCGGGGCAGAGGCTCCAGAGACTTCCTTGCGTGTATGTTGACTGGTTACAGTCATACTTCCTTGGATTTGGCCATTCATCCCTGTGGTCTACCGGATTCTTGCCATGGTGGGTACATGGGCTGTCTTCTGTGGCTGCAGCTCACAAGTCTCAACCCAGTCATCTACCTCTCAAACCATGTTCTTGTGGAACCACAGGAGGATCCAGTTAGAGACTTAGGATGCTTTATGCCAGTCATCCCTATTGTTGGAACTCAGAGCCTGTCTCTTATTGAAAGTGAATCAAATAGATAGATGCATCATAATATTAAAAAAGGGAAATCAAGTTTAACTTATCATATTCAATATGGAGGTAACCTTTTCTTTCCCCCAATTCTTTCTGAGTCTTTCTTGAATGTTCCTTTAAAATGTGTATTTCCCTTGTGAAGTCAGCCTTTCAAATCACCATGTAGCAGTGACTGCTTTGGAGAGTGTTGATGTGTTTGTATGAGAGCACTTCAAAAAGTTCACGGAAAAATAGAATCAAAAGATAATACGAATCTTTCCATGAACAACTTCAAGTACCCTTGTACTGGTACCGGAGACTAGAACACCAGTAAAGCTATATCTTTACACCAAAATGAGGTTTTCTAAGCCATGAAAGAAAAAAAAAAGTTTCATCTTATACTGAAACTTTTATCCCCCACTTGTGAGCACTTTATATAAAAAGTACTTAGGATATCACAAGTAACTTCCCCATTTGAAGAATTCTTGGGATTTTAAATTTACAGTTGGTCCAGGTGGGGAATGAGTTTCATAAGTTGAGAGAAGTTACCCTTCTTTGCTGAACTGCAATGAGAGACACATTTGTGGGTGGAATGGAGAGAGAGAAATTGGGATTTTTTTGTTTTCTGCACAGTCACTTAAAAATGGGGAATTTTCGCTTTCTGCACAGTAAACACCCTTCCCTCTCCCACCCTGTCCCCCATTTACCCCATCCCAATTTGTCCTTGGAGTCTTGGACTAGCAGTATGAATTAACAAAGGAGATAAACCTGCAGTGCAGCCCTGGGACTTGATGCAATTTGACCAT